CAAAAAACTGTACTGTTTATTGGTGCTGCTGAGTGAGAAAGTTGTAACCAGCAGTTAGGCATGTATTTCAGGTTCTGCAGCTGAAAACCTGTCTTCACAGGCAAACAAAATATAACGTGAAGCGGCTGTTGCGTTCTGAATCAGACCTACTATTTTTTAAAGAGCTAAAATTAAAACATTTGTATAACATTTGGTGCCGGTGAGAAGTCATCATGGGCATAGTTATTTTATTTTGGATTTAAACACATATTTGAACCATTTTAGGGTGATTATACAACTACATGGAATTTAAAAAAAACTAGAATTAAACAAATTTGAATATATTGCGAACTTTCTTTAACCTCAACGGACAAAATTAAAAATGTCTATGATATGCATATTGCATAACATCCACTAAAATTTACTTAAAAGTCCTTCTGTAAGTTGTACCTCAACCTAATGCTTCTAGTAGCCATCAGCAAAAACTCTTGTTTGGGTTCCAGGAACAAGACCAGCTTTTAGACATCGTCCAGAAACTTTCATTTATTTTGAGAATGAAAATCCATTTTATGGAATCCATCCATTTTAATCCATTCTTAAACACATTTTGGAAACATTTTTATGAGACAAACTTGAACAATTTAATGGTAGTCCAGGTTCTTTTTATTCAAAACAGCCCTGTAGCATGATGCCAACACCTCCCTTCTTCACAGTTGGTAGAATGTCCTCAGGTCTTAAAGTCTTATTTCGACTCCTCCAAATAGATTTCTTGTCATTTCGGGCAAACAGATTAATCTCTGTCTCATCTTACAATTAAACCTTTGTTTTGAAGACATATGCCTTGTTCATTTGGCCAGCTGCAAAATTCCAGTCCTATATAAAGATTTTGTTTTTGGAGAAGGCTCTAACTGCTTAGTCGATTTGTTTCCATTGAGATGATAAAATCGCCTCGTGGTGTGCAGATACACTTGTGTTGAAGCTTTTTCTAGTTTATGATATTGAACCTTGGTGGTTTCTGAATTGTTACTAATGATTCTTGTCAATTTCTTTTAATTGAGAATAACAGTTTAATTGATAATAACAGTTAAATCAATGTCTAAAACTTGGACACAATTGGGTAGTTCAATAAACAATTACAAATGATCTGGTCTAAACACATTTTAAATGGGGCTTTGTTGTTTGGTGGCTTCAGAATGTGTTATTCAGGTGACAAATATTAGAGGGTTTGTATTAACATGGTGATAAAGAGCAGGAATGTTATTTTGAGCTCCTATGTATAATTCTGCATTGATTTGAGAAAATCCACAATAAATTAAAATCTCTTCAGTCATTTAAGTTGTTTTGTAATCATTACACCCTAAACATAGAGCAGTTCAGATGATCTTCAAAAGCTCTTAGTGAAATCTATACCCATACAGCAATGGTGCAGTATGTTTTAAAAATATTTACTATGTTCAGGTAAGAGGTTTAGGCTTTATTATTTCTGAAGATGTAAATTAGTTGCCTTATTTAACGCTAGAAACATTTGAAACGCATTCAACTGAAACTGATTTTTTTTTTAACTACTCTTTAAATATAACCAGGAAAATCACCCAGGAAAGCAGTTTAAGGAATGTTACTCAACATCTTTAGATAGCAACAGTGAATGCTTTCTGTGCTGTATTGAAAGCATTCATTTCAGTTTAATGCTGCAAGCAAGCTTAGGTTTCATACCAAACGCCAAACAATATAACTTTTGAAACTGAGAAAGCATCAGTTGATGAACAATTTAAATGAATTACCTTCGTTTTTATGTTTCCCTTCTCTCCAGACATCCCATTCCTGCCTTGTGTTTCAGTCGGTTCTGTGGCCAGAATACTCCTTCTGGAACCTGTGTGAAGCTATAGTCCAGTACCAATTAAATCATAAATCCATCCAGGTAATTCCTCATGTTGCACACAATTTGTTTTTGACTTGATGAGAAATGTGGCTCTGAAACGAGTTTGCAGGAAGAGAAAGAACAGGGACATTTTGGTATTACAGAATTTCTGTTAAAGCATATTAACACCCGTCTCCCCTGGGTGATGTTGATGAAGTACTATTGCCAAGTGTCAGATAGTGGAGGTGGAACAATACCTGTCACATCACTTGGTGCCTAAGCAGATGGAGAGTTCAATAAGTCAGACCGACTCCTCTCTCATCAATGACAGTCTTCCAGCTTGTGCTCGGTCCCCTTGGTAACCACTTGCCGTATTTCTAGGTGTTGGTCATTTATGGTTCTTTTCACCACTTTCATTAATGCTTTGGGTTTTCACTCAAATATTCACCAGAGCATCAGGATTCAGGATTTGCATCTGACTCCCCACTTTGTTGGATGGATGGAATGATCTTTGTTGTCAGCTTGTGGCTGAATGCAGCAATGTGGTTAGAGAGTTTGTTTAAAATAAAAACAGCTGTCTAATACTCATGAGTTTATGTGCTCATATGTATTTATATGAGAGCAACATCACACAGAATGCTAGAGGTTCCTAGTAAGTTCTCTATCCATAAATCTGCTGTGGTGGAATAACCATCTGACTGGTAGTTTAACTCGTGTGTTGAATACCTTGTTTTACTATATATAACACCTGACCCTGCGTTTTTAATTATTCTTTTGTAATTTTTATTTATACAGACTCAAGGCTTGAGGTCTCATTTTCAAGAGATGTTTATACCATCATGCAGTATATTCTGAGACTCATTGAAAAGGGGCTTTGCAAACACGATTGCGATTTTTTAACATATTGTCGCATCTGAATTATAACCAAAATGACAGGCACCTTAAATTTATAATAAAAAGTGTTGAAATGTTCTATTTGCATTTTTTACATTGTAAAAAGGTGATGAAACTGACTTAAACAACTTTGTGGTGCTAAATAGGAGGGTAATCTGTTATCAGACTATCTTGAAATGCATATTGAGACCTTTCTAATTCCTGAATGTTTTTTAGAAAAAAGTATGCAACTTGCTTATTTGCAGTGGAAACTATCACTCCCCCCCCCCTTTTTGTGTTTTATTTTCAAGCTATTTAATTTTGTACATGGAGACTGTCTACACTGCAATAATACTAGAGGCAGGTAAAAGATGACGACATTTGGCTCGTGACAGTTTGAAATGATTATTTTGAACTGGTCACTGAGGCAAATCCTACGTCTTTACTAAATCCAGGATTTTGTTTTTGATATGTTGCAGAAAGCCAGAGAGCTCCATCGAGACGAACAGGCCCTCCAGCAGCTGGAGGCAGATTGTGCCTGCATAGCAGAGCACCTGCAGCATCAGGGGAACGGAAAGCCAGCTGATGCCCAAAGAAGACAAGAGGCACTGCAACACTACACTGTCGCCCGGGAAGAACGAGTTCAGGACTTCCTGCAAGCACTGAAGCACAAGAGAGACACTTTCTTTACTAACTTATGCAGTGAAACCATCCTGACCTAGGAAAATTTTAAGGAACTAATCTACAGGTATAGTAGGAGTAAAACACCTCCCGTCGTTTTCCCAGAATCACTTCCGAGGACCAAGGAAGCGCAAACAGCGATTGGAGGTGGTTTTATGTTGTTGCTGAGTTGTATAAAACAAAAGGACAATGTTTACCCCTATGGGGCTGTAGACTAATGATTATATATTTATGATTGTAGATTTGCAAAAATCTAACATGCGGAAATGTCTGGTCAAGGTGTAGTAAAATAGTTGTGCAAACTGTCTGTGAAATGCATGTCGTTGATTGAAAAGTCAAAGGTGAGTGGAAGCCACAGTTCTCTCCAGCACCTAATGCAGTTCGGTATTTTTGTTGCTGAAAGTGTTGTCGAGTGTGTTTTTTAAAGACAACTATATTTTGACCAGCATTCTCAAACAATAAATCGAGAACTATATATGAGAAACTGATTATTTTATTTTAAGATTTAAGCCATTTTCCATTCTTTGTCAGCTTCATGTAATTATATTATTACAATTTGTTTTATGGATTTCAGAAAAATGAAGCAAGGTTGAAATACGCTCTCTTGCAATGCCTTGCAAAAGTATTCATTCCTTTTGGACTGTTTCCCATTTTGTCAAGTTACAACCATTTCAGTGTATTTGTCAACAGAAAGTAATGCATATTTGTGGATAGAAAAGAAAATGCAAGTCATGTCTAAACTTGTGGAGAGGAGTAGAGCAGGATAATATAAAACGATAATCCAGCCTTTCAACATCTAACAGAGGGAAATTCAACTGCAAATGTGGATCTCTGCAGCTCCTCCAGAGTTGAGCCCTCCACCTGCCTGCAGTTCACGACTAAGAAATGTGGAAGAAATTGATCTGGTCAGATGAGACTGAAATTTAGTGTTTTATCTGGCTATAAAAATGCTGTGCATCACTTTGAACATACCACAGGAAAACTGTGGTGGCAGCAACATGCTGTATGAATAAATTTCTTCAGCAGGGATGGGAAGGATTGCCAGAATTGCTTAAAAGATGATAGATGCTTAAGAATTAGTAATATAAAAGACAACTAGAAAGACTAGAGTGGAACTGATGTTTGTCAAACAAAAAGGGCAACAAGAAGCAGAAGGAGCTGCAATGAAATAGTTTGACAGATTTTACAGAGAAAAATGTTTACAAATGTCAGTGTCTGGGCCCAGAGGAGACATAGCTCAAACGAAGAACAGCTGTATTCACAGAGAGGTGGCTACATGCCTCACTTTTCAGTTTTTTAAAGTTTTGAAAACCTTTTTTTTATATATTGGTCTATGTCAAAAGTTCTCAATAACATACAATGAAGTTTTAATATAAAAGGCAGAATATAAGTGTATTTTTAAACCCGTAATTCATCAGCAACATGTAGTAAGCGCCATTTTCATTTTACGTTTATTTTTTTCTGAGAAGACCCTAATTCAGTCGAAACCACCGGCACAGCGCCCCCTGAGGTGAAGGTCAGACTTTCACCAGTTCGCTTCCTGCCTCTTTAACAAGTGGGAGGTCCCTGGAACCACGTGTTACGTTTCTGTCCAATGACAAACGTCGAAATAGAAAACTGGTTCAAACCGGTTTCGTTCTTATATTTCACTGTATAAACTACAAAAACATTCGTTTCTATTATACATTCGCCATTTTACACTGAGACTGCACGGTCGACGTGTGACATCTCTTCGAAAAAAAAGCTTGTTTTTGCGGCTGTATTTTTTCAGCTTTCTTTTGACTTCCAGCCAATACCATGGGAAAAGCAAAGGTAGGATTTTTATTTTTAGTGTATTTAGTTTTTTTGCGTCTTCTTGTAGGATTCGTGACGGTGTCTTGAGGTTAACGTTGGGCTGCATTTATTTTTTTCTGCATCAGAGGAACGTCATCATCTCTAACAAACGTTATAGCAATGGCGGACGGGCAGCAGAGACCTGTTCAAGCATCGTCTTAGTCGTCGAAAATTAAAGTGTTGGTCGTCGATAAATGCCTAAAATATTCACCAACTGGTTTTAAAACCTCAGACGGCGTAGATATAATTGATTTTACTTGTAGTCAGGCTCAGACTACATTCTCTTCTGACATTGCGCTGTGCTGATTAAATCCTGTCATCGTCTGCCTTTTTCCCTCTCTGTGGCAGTAGGCTGGGCAAAAAAAAAATTGACAGGTTGCACCCAAAGACCAACTTTTCATGCGTCGAGTTACGCTATTATTTCGTAATCACAACAATAGGAATCCAAGCGGTCAATATATATTTTTGCAAATATACATTTTGGGTGGTTGGTTGAGTTTTAAGATGCTTTTAGCAACCTGCAAATTTGAGGAAGGAGTGGGGGAGGGTAAATGAAAATGATAAATTTTCATCTGTTTTGAATGATTAAATTGCCCCCCTATTCTTCATAGAAATTCAACAATGTTGTAAATTTTCATCTGTTAGTTGAATGTGATCAGCAATGTATGCAAATCATCAATTGCGCCCTTTATATTAGACAATGCGTATTAGTAATTTACGCAATTTTTTCTTTAAAGAACGTGTAGCAAAATATTGATCTAAATAAAGACGTAGTTTTGCTATTTTTATCTGAACTATGGAAAATTTTATGGTTTTCTTAAAAATATTTAATTTAATCGTCATAGTATGTTAATAACTACTTATGAGAACTACTAAGATTCGCGGTTAAAAACAATTTGTGGTTTGGTCTGCAGATTCGTTTTTCCTTGCATTTCTTGTGTAGCTAAAGATTAGTAAAGTAGTAATCTTATCAGTTTCCCCCTGCAGCTGTCCGTAGGCGCGCACTGATACAAAACAAAGGAAGCTGTCAGGGCGCCAAAGCGCTGTCATGGTGACAGGACAGCCCAAGTTTGAATTCAAAAATGCGCGGGAAGTCCTTTGTGACTTTCAAGTTCAGCAGCTCGTTACAAGTTAACTGTGTGCACTTTGATTTAAGTTTCCTCTGATTGTTTTTTTTTTGTCTGATAATAAAATTGATGTACAACTGGAGTTCATGGAGTTTAAATGTTTTTGCAGTCTGAATGTTAATACTTTGCTTTTGTTTCTTCTTTTTTTTTATGTTACAGCAAACCGTTCCCCCTGAGGTTTGTCTTTTCTACTTTATGCTTTATTTTAGTTTGTTTTATTGTTTTCTTTTTTGACAAACTTTTTGACTTTTCTTTGGTTTTCATATTTAAATGAACTAAAATGTCTTTATGTATTTAAACTTTAAATATATCTTTTGTCTGTAGCAAAGAAGAACCTCCCCACGACTGGCACTGGTAAGATTTTATCTTGGATAGCAGTTGTACCGCTTTTTTTTTTTCTTGCACTTACTTTTTAAAGCTTTTGCACAAAATCACCTCTATGTAATGTCAAAATAGTAACAAGCTTTTTTATGGAATAATAGGAGCCTTCTGAAGGGCGACTGACTATATAAACTAGTTTGCCTTTCTTTCCAGTCATAATTCTTATTTTTTTCTTATTCAGAAACCGAAAGCAGCCCCCGTGGAGACTAAGAAAAAAGCTGCTCCAAAGGTAAGTAATTTCATAGCAGATAGTTTTATTGAAGAAAGTAATAAAATGTATTTGATTCAATTAATTTACAGTGGGGTTTTTTATACAGTTGCTGTAAATGTAAATTTATTTGCTACTTTGTTTTGCAGAAGGCACCAAAAGCAAAGAAGGCCAAGCCAGCTGAGAATGGGAACACCAAGGCTGAGGTATGTTTCTGTTTTGAGAAATACCTACCCTAAATTTTATTATTGATTGACATTCTTTATACAATGCAGTTATTTTTTGGTTAAGATATTAATATGACACACAAGATTTATTTAGAATTAATTTGCTCTTAAGATATTAACAGTTTCACACACTGATTCCTATTGTCATCCCAGAAGTTGGAGTTTAATTGTTCTGTGGGACAAAGTTGTTTATTCTTGTTGTCTTTTCTTTTCTTTTTGTTTTTCCTCAGGAGCCAAAGGCTGAAGCCACCGAAACCAAATAAATAATGGTTGAAGATGTGCTCACTCTGTGTACTTGGTGATTGTACAGTTTTAAATAAGTATTTTTTACCAAGTTTTATATTACAAATATGTCATTTATAGGTTTGTTCTGGGCTTGCACTCAATGTAACAAGACTTTGTTTTCACATTCATATCCATTTTTTTTTTTTGTTATTTTTATCAACTTTAAAATGATTACCGTCCATATCTTGTAGGCGTGGCATTTTAGTTTGTCTAATCTGTTTTTTTTTTTTTTTAAACTGCTGATGGATAGATATTTTCAAGTCAGGTTTTGAATCTAATTTTAAACATAAGGCAGCTAAAATGTAGTAAAACTTACAGGAGAATAGGAACTTTACCTTTCATCTCCATGTATTTTAATGTTTGACTAATAAACAGTTGCTTACCAAATTATTTAAAGCGATGTATGTCAATGTAAGATCTAGTCAGTTATAATGCCACATAAATTTAGTGTATTAGGTCAAACGTTTGGTAGATCCCCAAAACATGTACCATGTAAATCTGGTCTTCAGATTGGGAAAAAAACAGTTGTTAACTTATGTTTCTGTAAGGGGAAGTGGAAGTTTGTTTTTTTTTTTTTTTCTGACTTCAGTGGTTGATCTAAATGTTCTTGAATAAAAAAACTTTAAAATGTTTGTTTGGTTTTCTTAGATGTGACTTTATTCATTTTAGGTGAATTGATTTGACAAAAACAACTGAACTACATTTCATGATGTGCAACTAAAACTGTATATTCAGTTTTCACAATATTGCAGTGAGAAAGTATATATACCGCCATTATTTCGAGGTTATAACCACAGATATGTTACTGGATATTTTCATCCAGGCATGTGACAGGAATTTACAAAATGTTTTCAAACATTTAATGTTTCCATCATTTATAATAATTGATTCAGAATTTTTTTTTTTTCTATTACTGGTGTTTACTTTAATGATGAAATAAAAATAAATTCTGAACTGATGGAGAAAGTTTAAAGAAATTAGACCAAATGTGGAAGAAAACTCTAACTACTAGAAGACACTTTTGAAAACTAATAATCCCATATTGCTGATTTAAAAAAGCCAAATAGTAAAAATCAGAAACTGAAACAGAAGAAATATATCCATTCCTACTAAAGTGGATTACCCGAGTTCCCCTATCAAACCTTTGTGATGTGGCTGCGCTGTTTGTATTATTGTCTTACCTCGAGAAGGTTCTGGGTTGGGATCCACGTCCATCTTTCTGCAAGATTCCTGAGTCCATGTTTCTTTATGTCCTGTGATGAACTAACATAACTGTAATGTTATTTGGTGTTTTTTAAATTGTAATTAGCTATGAATTCATAACCATGGATGTTAGTCTTGTGTATCCTGGTCTGTGATCGCCTGTCCAGAGTATAACATGTCTCTACCCTGAGACTACTGGAGGTAGGCACAACCCTACAAGGTTAACAGGACAGAGACAAGGATAGATGGATCTAAAACCTAAAAAAAATTGGTAGTAATTAGGTTTGAGTTAACATGTATTTTTGATGTATAGCAATGATGTTTCAAATGAAGGCAAGCACTTTTCATAGATGAGGTAAAATCTATTTGGTATGTGGTGTTTTATTCCCTAAAGTGAAGTTACAGTTGTTACTGTCAAATACAGATTGTGTGTTTACATGCAGATAACATACATTAGAAATCAAAATAGCTTCCCAGATGTTTCCTCACTTTTGGATTTGTGGTCTGCTAATCCTGAGTCCTGTTCTCGTCGCTTGTCACCAGCAGGGGGCAGTGTGCTACCACATAAAGCAGATGTTCTTTGTTTCTTCAGCGGGATTCCTCTGCTGGCTTCAGCCAAGTTTGAAAGTCGGTCAAATATGACGCGTTTGTTGTTTGCAAACACTTCGCTGAAATATGTTAAAGCAAATATAGTTTCCAAACGTGGCTCATTGAGTATTTTCTGTTATTTGCTGATTTTGAAGCGGGCTAAATTACGTGTTTGAAGGGCAGTAGAGACGTAGTGTCAGATTATTTAGTGGAAAAGAATACATACATAGGACCTGTTAGTCTTGGAACTTATCTTTAGGAGACTTAAACCAAAGCTGTCACTTTTGATTAAATGTATGGTGTGAATTCTGCTATATATGTTTGGGAACTCTTGTTTTTTATGTAAATGTCCATATAGTGCATCCTATTACTGTTTTCTGTGCATTTGAACTCCCAGAAGAGATCTGTGTCAGCTATTTGCTGCAGAGCTCCAGGGGGAAGAAAATAGTCATATTTTCACAAATCTGACCTTCACTGAAGAGAGGAAAGAAGAAAACCTTTGTTAAGAGAAAGTAACAGAAAGTTCAATTTGTTGTGCGGTAGGGGGCACTTCAACCTTGTGAAGAGGAAGGTTTAGTCAGATGAGACAAAAATAACATTTTTTGGCATGCAAAAATGACTGATAGAAAACTAACACCTCACATAAACATGAACACACCTTTGCCATCTTGAAATCTAGTGAGCTGAATATTGTAATCCTGTAAGAAAATCTGTTTAAAGTTCACCTTCCAGCACGATGATCTTAAACAGAGCTATAATGCAGTGGTTCAGATGAAAACATTTGTATGTGTCAGTCAAAGTCCAACGTTCATTAAAAGTGAGAATGTTCAGCTAAATTTGTCAAATGCTGTTAATGGACTTTAAACTGACCGAGTTTGAGCTATTTTACAAGGAAGATGACAATATTTTTTTCAGTCTCATAGGAAGACCATTTTGCAGATTACCTCAAGCTATGGTCAGACTGTAATTAAAAAGTTTTGCAGCTTTAAGCTGTAATAAGGTGCATCAACTGACTAAATGAAGTTGCAAGTAAAATAAAATGTGAAATTCAAGTTCAAGGCACTGCACACTTTGCTTCAGCTGCCGCTGAATTCATTCTGAGAAGAAAAAAAAAAAAGGTTAAACTTGGTGCTTTTTAGTTTCCAAAGTTAGGACTGACACTTAGTAGAAGTTAAAACCCAGATAAAGTTAGAACTGTATTACTTCCATGAAAACATAGAGTCCGCACATCTCTCTCCTTGTTCACTTGTTTCATATTTAAACCTAAACACACCCCGGAGCGCCTGCTATCTAGAGGACACGTCACACGTGCGCGTATTTCTTCCACAGTATTTCACGCAAAGACAAAATGTTCCTCCGCACGCGGAGGTAGCGAGCCAGCATTAAACGCGGACGAGCCCATTTCTCCTGTGCTGCGGGGATCTGCGTGGGTCCGTATGAACAGAGGCATGTCTGAGCGCTCGCAGTGCCCCTCCCCTCTCGCTTCTGCCACACGCAACATGCATACCCAGCTTCCTATAAAAATCTTTTCAAAGCGAACACAGTGTACCATTTAAGCGCAGGCTGGCCGAGCCCACAGCTGTCCCCCTGCACACACGCCCTACCCCCGAACAGCTGCAGGTAAGCGCCCAGCTTTTGCGGGACAGGATGGACGGGGAGGACAGAGACATGACTGATGAGTCTTCGGGAGTCTGCAGCGCTAAGTTTAAAACAGCTCAGTGGACTCCGCGTCCTGCTTTCTAGCTGCGCCAAAAAAAAGTTCTGTTATTTTATCCCAAAGTTTTATTAAACGCGCTCTGATTTTTTTTTAACCGCAGTTCGTTTGTTTCAGAATAAACCCGACGGTATTTGTTTTTTTTTTTTTGCAATTTTTTAATAAGAAGGAATCAGCATCTTAATGTGTGTGTTTTTTTTAAGTGGAAAGTGTTGCGCTCAGCTGGATTTAATCTGAGATGAGTTCATCAGTGGGAATCATTCCAGATATGGACATTTAAATGGGGAGGATATTTCCAAAAGTGCAGGATATAGCTTGAAAAAAAAAACCCTACATGACATGTTGTTTTTTCTTACAGTGATAAAAGTTTGATTTGAAGAAGCAAAGTTAAACTTATGATTTGGTTTTGTTCAGTGTTTTCCAAAACAAGTTGTGCACTAAAGGCTTTGTTTCTGTCTCTCATCAGAAAACTATTAAAAGCATCCTACTCTGAAATTTACAGGTAGAAGAACAAAAACGTTTCATACTTTAAAAAAAGTCAGCAAACTTTTTTGGTAAGATGTTTTTTGTCCTAAATTGCTATAATTTGAGTAAATGTTTCCTGGTTTTAACTTTTCTGATAGCAGGATTATTTTTATGCACATTGCATGTCTTTGCAATTTACACTTTGTTCCCACTCCGGCTCACTAGCTGTAGGGGAATTTTTTTTTGGGAGGTTTTGCTTCCTAGAGTTCAAACTGACATGCATAAAAATAATTTAGGTTTGGTGACATTTTTTTTATGCTGATTTAAACTGACAGTTTAGAACAAAAAAAAAATCTCCTTTAGATGTTCCTTAAAATTGAATCACTGGCTGGATTTACAAAGGTTAAAACCTTTGGTCATCTATTCTCCCTTTAAGTGGATTAAGACTTGTGTGTGTGTGTGTGTGTGTGTGTGTGTGTGTGTGTGTGTGTGTCAGCTTTGAGAGTCACTTTAGAGTAGCTTAAAACACTTTAACTCATGGCTCAGCTCCTCTCTGTTCTGACCCAAGTCTGCCACAGTATTCCGTCAGTTAGGGACCAAAATAAAATGTTTGTCGTTTGATTGACATAAATTCCCAGACTTTGACTGGAACATGCAGGGAAATGCCTTATTTCTACAAACCAATAAACTTTCATAGTGTCGTTGTCTCCAGAATCTCAGTTTATGCTGGATCTCTTGGGTTTACTCCAAGGTATTTCTGCTGCAACTGAAATACGTTAACATTTATTTTTGTGATAATGTAATTGTGATCATGGTTTGAAACATAAGCAGAAGCAGAGTGCAATTTTTTTTGGGTACTATTTTCCATTTTTATCCCAAACTATTTTTTTAGAATCCAATTAGATGACCTGTTCATTGCAGTCCCAATGACTCTGTATTGGTCTCACAGCACATTGTTTCCAAGTGTTCGGGTTTCTAAAGGTGTGGCTGGAATTTAATGAGTTTGGTTTTCAAATGAACATGAACAGGTATGATGGGTTTATTAGTCACTACAAGTTCACTTCACAAGAACTTGCACACATTAACTAATTGACTCTGACACCAGGGCAACAATAGTGACGTGCCATTGTCATGACTGTGGAAGATGTCCAGTCTCTGAGCTGCTCCTGTGGTGAGGCAGGCATATTAACGGCGCTGATGTTACACTGAGGCTCTTTGTGCTGCAGGAGGTTGTTTTAGTTGGTCAATGGTTCTGCTACGGTTGCAGATGGGTCCATCTTTCACATGGCTGCTCGCTACAGGGAGCTGGGGGCTGAGATGGGCGGGATGGAGGAGGGGATTGAAAGTGACACAACAAGGTCAACCAAGATAGGAGGAAAGGGCTGACGGTGGAATTTCATTGGTTGTTTTGCAGAAAGTACAGCGTGTACCAAGGCGAAGGAAATACTTATGTACCCGATAGATGGCCGACTATAGCTTTCAAGGCATATTGACAACCACAAGCGCTAAAAAGCTCATCCCAAAAATGGCTTGGGAAGCCTGTCAGATTTTAGTACAATTTGAACATATCTGTTTACTTCTGAATCCAATATTCTTGTGTGCTTTGACCATAACCACAATCAATCAATTTTCCCAGCTTCCCCTCAGATCTGTAGCTGGACTCGCTGGCAGCTGAGGATTTTTGCACAGCCACAGGTGATGCATGCATGGGGGAAACGCCCTCCAGCTTTCATGTTGATCCCTAACCGTAACATGAATAGTTCACAGATGATTCACTCGGACTCTTTCCAACACATGATGTTGACCTCTCCCTATTTCTGACTCAGCTTGGCCTCTTACACGAAATTCCTGACAGTGTCGATGGGTGTTTGAGAAGCAGCCGTAAACATCTGAAGAATTTGATCTACTCGGCTAATTTAAATGGGCTGGCCAGTTTGGTTTCAGACCGTACTACTTCCTGTACAATTATCACCCAACTTATTCATAAACATTAATCATGTTTTATATGTTTGCTTCAATTAGATCTCATAAAGAAAGGTTAAAGTGCCATAATCTATTAGTATGTGGCAGTAATAACGGTACCCTCTATAAACAATTTGATAATTTTTAAACAAAATATAAAGTAAGTTTTGACTTGAAATTACCAATATTTTAGTAAGATTTTTTTCTATGTATTATTATTAATGCAAGATTTCACAAAGTCAGAAGTGTATTATTGTACAATGAGAGTATTGCAGTAATGTGCATGCACGAGTGATCTGGAGGAGTAACCTCTGGCTTCTCAGGAAGAACATTTCATTTTTATTGCCAACATCAGCAACATGGCACTATGGCGTTTTAGTATTTCCTGATTTAGCAACTTTACTGCTTAGCTTCAGACGTTAACATTAGCATTTTTTTAAATCCCAATTTAACTCGGTGGTTCTCATATTGAACCACTTGCTATTTTGGTTACTTTTGTTTCAGTAAAGTATCTCAAGTGTTGAAATGCACATACTGCAGGACTTACTTTTAATGAGGTCATTCACAAACATGCCTCTAAATCTAAAAATGTCCCCTATGTAAACCAAGGTTGTGTTTATTTAGTGTCTGTAAAACTATTTCCAGGCATTTGACATGCAAGTGAAATCTCAAGTAAAATTAGCAGGCTTCTCCTTTAAGAGAACAAGATACATAGCACAGTGGATACTTTAGTGTGAGAATACTTATTCACTATTGCCCGATATCTCTTATTTGATCATGAATAGGAATGATGAGGGATTCAAGAACATTTTAAGAACCTAATTTAAGATTTTTTTGTTAAACCAAAGAATTAGAAATTGTCTCTCCTCTATTATATTATCTGTAGAAAGACATTCACAGTGAAAAAGACTTTTTGATTGTTTCAGCTCTCTGTCTTGTTACTTGTGCTGTTTTTAAGATTTTAGAAGCAAATCTTTAAGTTTCTTTGCTGTAAGTTTTGTCTACGCTCACTTAGCTTGAACCAGACTGAAACAAGTTATCAGCCAAATTATCGACAAGTCCTATCAAAACAAAACATGCTTATGTTAGCATAGCATTTCATTCCTCATAGAAAATGTTGACTGGAAGATGATTTTGCATCTTCTCCTTTTTCTTCACATGTTCTCATATTGAACCACATGAGTCTTATTCGTAATTCTTCTTTTAAGATACTCTGCTTAGTTTGATCTTGGTTTAACCTTTTTCCTTAATCAGAACAGCCTTATTTATTTATTTATTTATTTTTGTGGTGTAGATTCAAGGTGTCGGAAACATTCTTCAGAGATTTTGGTTCACTTTAACAACACAGCATCTGCAGATTTGCCTACACCTGAATCTCCCATTCCACAAAATCCCAAAGGTGCTCTTTTAATTTTTAAAACCCTTCTATGAGAACTCGAGAGATGGTTGTTTGAAAATCCCAGCAGATAAGCAATTTCTAAAATACCAACAACCATTTCAAGTTCAGAGTCACTCATGTTCACCACTTTAAATCAGTTTTTACGTCTACAAACCATCATCACCACGTCTAGATGCCAAAAGGCATACAGTTGCTGAAAAGGGATTGGCTGCTTTGTGCTAACGATTGCAATAAAGTGGGTGTTGGAGTATTAGGTGAAGGTAGCTGTAAGACATGCTGGGTGTTGCATTTCTTAAACTCTCTGTCACGGAGCTCCATTAACATGCTTGCACTTTCATTAGTGCTGGTGCGGTTTATTCACAAAATGTTTGTAGTGTTTGGGTAAGGTGTGATTTGAGATAGCTCATACAGTTTCATGCAGAGCTTCTCGCTGTTAGAAAGTGAGCTGATGTTTTGTGTTAGCTGCATGACGTCAGATCCACAGGTTGCAGAAACATTTTCGTGCCTTCTGGACCTCATGCAGGGAGCTCAGGTTGCATGATATTAAGTGCAGTTTTGACTCTGCAGAACTTTGTGAAATGTAGTTTTGTAATCAACTACATGATTTACAAAAAAAGACCCCACAACATTATTGGTAAATTTTAAGAAGCTTAAGTAGTTATTCAGCATTTTTTACCCACTTGTGGGGTCAACTAGATTTCTGACCCAAACTGAGATTAAATGTGCACATCATGCTGGTTATGTAACTCAATACGCTGAAATCTCAGCCCAAATAATTCTTCTCTTTATTTTGCTGTTTATTTCCCTTATTCTGCCCAAGTGAGCACATTATATCTGACATTTTTTTTGTTTTTGGAAGGAGGCAGTAGGCATTTGGGAAGCGACCCACTGAGAGTAATGAATTTGGACACCGGAGTGTATGTGTTGCTGAAGTGGGCGTGTGTCGCAGGCGAGCCTGAAGATCTGGTTGGGTGAGAGCTGAGCTGTATAAAAAGGCGGAGCGGAGCGCAGCGCAGACGCTCTCTCTCTGGTTCAGGTTCTTCTCTGTTTGGCCTCTGTTAGGAGTTTCTTCTGTCATTTTTTCCCCCGTTTGTGGAAGCAGAAGATCCCATTGTTGGGACTGGAGTGGTCCTTTCTTCCTTTTTGCAGACGGTGAGAAGTCCATCTGTTTTCATAATCAGCTCTTGACTTGAGGAGTAACTATACAAAACTTGGAATCACTATTTTTTTTTTCCATAAAGGGTGTAACTCCACAGGTTGGTGTATTATTGCTTCACATGTTATGCATCCTCTTCGGTGATTGTGCTTCCTTTTTTTTCTGGAACATGGATCCCAGGATTAACATAAGTTTTCAGTATCAAGCCCAACATCTTTTTTCACAAGCCATTGCACATAATTATGCTTGGACAGGTTTTTAATATTTTTTCTTTCTTTCTTTCTTCTTTTATGACATGGGCTCATCCCGTCTCCTGTTTTTACCATCAACTCATTTAAAAAATATATATTTTTTACAGTTTGCGCCTCTGTCACAGTGGGACTGAAAACCATCCCTTTGTCTTTCTTCCTTTCATCTAGTTAGAATCTCGCTGTCCAGTTGAGTAACGCAAAGCCACGTGATCACTAAAGTTATAACTGCATTTATCTTTATACATGAAAATGACTTTAGTTCTGCAGTGTCAGTTCATGACGCAGCATGAATACAGTCTCTGTTGCTCTGACCCAGATCTCGTTCAGACATGATGATTTAATAACTCAGAACTGAGGGGAGGGCAAAGGGTGGCGGATTTGGGGGCTTCCCGTCTTTGAACGTGCAGAATGAACAGAACTTGTGGCAAAAGAGACAAATCGGAAATAGTTCCGGATAATATTTTCGATCACACATGTTCTGCACACGTGTGCAGTTTTGTGCCACAGCTTCAGGCAAAGGATGTTCCTTCCTCATGTTTTAGTTTATTTGCAAGCCAGCACAAAGCAGTACCCTCCTATTTTTGATCTGACTTCAAAAGCTTAATTTCACTTCTTTGTATGTATTGTTTGTTTGAAATGCATAACCTACATTTACACTTTTCATTTATTTGCCTGCAGGTCTTGAACCACCCCGGGGGTTCACTGATCCATCATTTTAGGAAACATGATCATCAGACTGGGCAGGCTTACACCTGGATACTTCCGCCTTCTCCAGGTATTCGGCATGAATATAAGCATGAGTCAGTGTACGCTGAGCCTAACTACAGAGCTTTCACTGCATCATTGTATGAAGACAGGGTAATCATCTTATTGATCATCACAATCATTTTTTGTTTTTTGGACTCATAAGCTCAAATAAAAATGTGGAATTAAGCACCCATTAAATGTTACGTTAAATTGAATTGAACCTTCTTGCTATCTCAAGCTGATATGAGCAGGTTAATTAGTTGGATCTTGTCCGCTCTTGTGGTGGCTTTTTATCAGAAGCGTTAGTTGTAGTCTGACCAACTTTAGCTTTGAAACAAGATTACCTTAATAAGGGTGATGCAATGCACCTTTGTTTTTGTCTGTCGTAATCAGAAATATTTCTTAAAAGCCCAATTTGTCTCTCTTGTAACCAAGGGAAAAATGTTATAGCCTTCTTTAAGCCAGCTAATCTTCAGTGCGCAGCAACAGGTGGTCAGAGTCATATCCTTAGGAGGTTATAAGAGGTTTCTTCATCACAATGTAATTGGGGGAGCTTATGATTGTCATCTCCTTTGTTTCTTTTGTCATTGTAATCCTCTGTGGGGGTGGAGGGGTGGGGGGAACATATGTCTCCTCCATTGTACATCAATTCTAATTCGGCCATTTTCACTAATTCACAAACAAGGAGCGTTTCTGGATGGCTTTAAGAAAACAAAAGAAAGTGACTAGCTTTTAATTTATATCTGACCCTGTAGCGAGGTTATGATATTTCTAATGTACAGGCTGGTTGTTAGTTTAATGATTTCAGACAATTATATGCTTCAGTGAGCGCATTGTTCAATATTCTTTCAAATGAATTTTACTGGAAAACATCAGTAAGACTGGAAATTAGGACTAGGGTTATGTCATCCTCAAATACGTTCTTATTGACAAAAACCCCCCCCCAAACATTATGCTTTTTGTAGCATAATGTGTTTTTTTTTTTTTTTTTTTATCATTTTGCTGAAAAATGCAGCCCAGCCTTATTGAATACATAGATCTCACTTTATCTTTTTGAACAACTCATTCCATAAATGAGCTGTTATCTCACAGTGTGGGCGGCTCAAATACCTGATCTGCATGTAGAAAAGGGTGGAGCTCCACCTGGAGACAAAATACATTGGAAGGCATCCCTGTGCACAGGACACTCTTCCCCTTTAACAAAGTATCATGCTAAATCTTTAATGGCTGTTTCTGCTTGGGCACATAGGGAAGATTTCTAAAATTAATCTTTTAAGCTTTTCAGAAGAGAACCTGTCTTGACATGCAGACGCATCTCAAAAAACTGAAAAGTTATTTCTATAATTCCAGTCAAAAAAGCAAATCATGTGTATCTAGACCGTTGTACTAATGTGTATTTCTGCTAAAAGCTATGATGTTCCAATATTTAACATCTTCTTAAGACATTAGAGTATTAAGGGACTATTTAATATGCCTTTCGGTGTATTAATTTAGTGATATGGCCAACACAATAATGGGGAAGACCGATAACTCAACTGGTGTCCAGCAGAAACTCACTGACACCGTCCACAAGGAGGGTAACCCACAAAAAGCCATGGCTTAAACAGATGTCTGTCCAGATTTGTGTTTCAAAGAATATTAATGGAAAGTTAGGTGGAAGAAAAAAGTGCAATCAATGAAGTGCAATATACCCAGTAACAATTTGGGGAGGAATCCATTCTGCTGTTAGTCCGTTGTGTGTTTTTATTTTATCTTTTTCCAAGTTCAAGTCAGTTTTCTGACAGAAAAGCTTTATCCCTCGGCTGTCAAAGATTTATGAAGATGCTGATTTAATTTCCTGCCAGAAACTGGCATCTGGGCTTACTGCCAAAGGTAACTAAAGCAAGTTTATTGCCCATAGCATAGTTGTTTATTTGGCCTCTACTCTGCCCTGATCTAATTTGAAGATGAAGATGAAAGACATCAGAGCCAGAGCAGCTAAAAGCAGCTGTTGGTGCAAGCTGAGCTTCCTTAACACCTCAGCAGAACCACAGGCTCATCACCTCCAAGTCGAGCTACATTGACGCTCATTGTGATTGATGCAAAGTAAGTCTTGACATGGACATAATCTTCAGCAGGCTGACATTTCGGTATTAAAAACAGACTTTTAAAATTCTCATTAGCGATTTTTCAACATATACTGAAAAATGCTTGAAATAATTGTTTTCATATAATTTGAGCTTAACTTTTTCGACTTAGTTAACATTCTAATAATATTTTAATTTGAGACACATGTGTAAGTACCATATAAGTTCATGGTGTCCAACCAGTAACCTTTGTCTCATTTTCTTTTCTGTCTCTGCAGAGGCAGGTCGCTGGTGAGGTCCAGACGCAGCCGCATGACCGCACCGTCAACCAGATCGCCATGATGCTGGCCATCATGGGTCTGAGTCTGTCCTACTACAGTGCCAAACAGATGACAGAGAAGGTCCAAGTCCGGCCTGCAGCCTGAAGAGGCTCTGTCGCTCCAGAATCTGGAGATGACAGATGAGCCAATGAGAACCAGAGGGAGAAACGGAGGTAAAGGGAGGAAGAAAGGCACAGCGGTGTGTGTCGGGACAGCACTTTTCTCACCTTAGTCGTCGATCACGCTCTTCCACTGACTTCCTGGGATCCTTCACACATCACCAGCAGAACTTTTCAGGGTCAAATAAAAAAAAAAATCCAATTTTCTGGTGCCAGGACCTTCAACAATTTGAGAGATTTGCTTATCTGGGGTCATGGGGAGAACTGGTTTTAGTGTGTGGAAACCAGCTCACTGCCAAACGGGTCTGAGCATTAGTCATTGTGCAGGATGCCATCAGTGCTATAAAAAGGAGAAAAACTTTCACTGTGAATCAAATTTAGTCCAAAAAAGGGTTCTGTTTTCTGAATTCTCCTTTATAAGGGATGGCTGACTGAGCGGTGCCTCCTGATGAAGTGATGGCAGACCCAGAACAAGACTAAAAGGGGATCAGATGTTACCTTTAATTATTTTGACTTTTTTTTTTGCTTGTTTTTTTTTTTTGTTCCTCCTCCAGAATTTTGCAGAGCCTCACAACAGATCAGAATCTGTGATCCTTCGGTCTACATGCCAGCTGTGTCTGCCAGTAAATATTTGCACAAAGCTATCTAAACCTTTTGAAATGCTGAAGTGGAATCTGCAGGGGGGCTCCAAAGTACTCCCTGTTTAATGTGTGTTTTCATTGTTTTTAACAATTCACAAGTCCTCTCTGTGTTCGACTGTTGATGAGAGCCTTTTCTTGCAGGATCTACAAATGTTAGTGCAATTGTGAAATGTTAGTGAAATGCATGAACATGTAGGAACGTAATCTTTGCAATCTTCACGAGTCTTGTTTTTTTTTTGTTTGTTTGTTTTTTAATTGATGAATGAATGTATCACTTTATTTTTGCAATGATTTAATAAAACTGTGAATATTTTAAGAGATTCCGAGCGGATGTTTGATAACGGAAGAGTCTCGAGGTTGGCACATTGAGCTGCAGCGTGACATTGTTTCCTGCGTCTGAGAATCTGTGGTGTCATCCGCACGCAACAGGATGCGGTTGGCCCGACTCGCGTGTTATGTTTCTTAAGTGAGACTGCATTTTAATTTTTTTTTTTGTTTTTTCATATCCTGCTGGTGCCCCATTTGCAAATGCAAGTCCTAATGTATAGCTAGCTGCAAACATGTGATTTTGGAGGATGCAAAATGATCTTTAGGATGTATGTTATGGGAAAAAGCCATTTAAGCAGATTTTTTTTTGTCACAGAATATTAATGCAGCCTCCAATACATGGACATAAAGCATAGAAATTCAACAGAAATGGTCGACAGCTACTCTGTTTTCCTGGTTATTTTGCAGGGCGTGGAGTTGTTCCGTGTTTGCATGGCTGCTCCAGGCTGATGTGATGCCCTGTGACAGTCCGAGTTCTCGTTGGGTGCCACGTGACCCTCCCGAAACCTCTGCCCACGCCACTAGCTCCTCCCCATTCGCTCTCTGTCTTGCATATCACTGGGTAAAAATCTCACTTCGGCATCTACATGATGATGGCATGAGGACAGAACCCCAAATGAAGAGTGACCATTGGTTGACCGCTGATGCATCACGATAATCGGCCTGGTTCTGTGGCGGAGAGACAAAAGGATGCGGATTAGGTCACTGGTGGGGATTGTGGGTGGGATTAGCATTCAATGTTTAGATTACAGGTTATAATTCACAAAAAAATACATGCGTTTACAACACATATCCAAAATCTCACAGTGAGAGGTTTGTTAAATTTGTTTTGAGGAAGTAGTCTGAGAAAGATATAAATCTTTCTCAGATATAAATTCAATCAATTAAATTAAATCAGACTGTAAAGCTGTTCCTGATCTAATTTTTATCTTTAAATAAACAAATGCCGACATCAGGATCCTTGACAAACATAAATGTTGACAAATGGGGCTTACAGTTATTATCAATGGGAGAGTTGCTTGTTTTTGTACCATGTGTGTTGGTTGTTTTAAAAGGATGCATATTTACCCAGATGATGAATGTAAAGCATTTGAAGCACTTTTAGATCAAGAGGCACTGAATAATTTTGATTATTCAGTGTCTTTATTCATTTGAAATAAAGACTTTACATCTGATGCAAGACCCATTTCTTGGCACCGTTTATGTAAAAAGTCTGCAGATAAATCCTGGTTTTATTGCAGTAACTTGATCTAATGATGATTTTGGAAAAAATCCAACCTTCAACTTGAGAAGGGGAAACCATTATTGTTTCCCTTACTCCTAATACTTTTTATATTAGTAGTACTTTTGATTTTCTTTGTATGAACTCATATTTGCTTTGAGATGTGCTTTGAACACATCAGCTCACATTTAACCCTCCCTACTGCAGTCGGGCTGAGGAGACGGCAGCATGCACGTGCCAGGTTCCAGCATGTTGCCGGACTCGGGGGGGTGCGCAGGGGCAGCACGCAGGGGGTGGGTCTCTCTGGGTTAGTTTCTGCATGGGGAGCCGCTGATGTGGCTGCCGTCAAACGTGCAGACTGCAGAGAACACGGTGTCTCCGAGATCCTGGACGGTCCCGCCCTGCGGCACAATCCGCAGCATCCATTTTTATCTGCTGAAGCCAAGCCAATCAAACAATATAGATTTATTGAAAATACTCTGTACTATAAATATCGCCTTTTTATTAAAAAGAAATAAAGTTGTGCTCATCAGTCTGCTCTGTTGGTGATGTGTAGCTGCGTTCTCTGTCTCTTAATCTGTTTTTTCTCCCTATGGCTTTCATTTTGTTGGGATTAACCACAAAGCTGCTTATCTCTACTTTAAGAGCATTTTTCCCCAACAGAGTTTTTTTTTTTTCTGCTAATGACTTCCAGATGATGTCATCCAGACTCAATGGAATTAATAATTGATATTGACAATAACCAGGCTTGAAATAAAAGCGGACAATGGGAGCTAATTTTCATTTTAAACGTTTCCTGGAGATTTCCACTACGACAATCTAAGTTATTCTGACCACATATGGCAAACTACACATTAAAGCTGCAGTGCGTAACTTTTAAAAAAAAGTATATATTTTTTTACATATTTGTTGAAACTGTCACTCTGTCATGACAGTATAGTATAAAACAGATAATCTGTGAAAAAAATCCTCTGCCTTCTCCTAGTGTTCCCTTTGCTAACTAGACACAACCAATCACTCAGGACAAGGGTGTTAGCGTTGTCAATCATGTTAGTATATGTGCCACTCAAACTTACCCATATTCATTGCAATAAGAAGTTTTTAATCAATGAGACTCACAAACAAGCATGACAGGTTTTCATGTTTATGCCGTAACTCTGCGCTGATAAGAACGATGATAAAGGAAGAAGGAAAAAAAAAACTGCCAGGAAATTAATTTTCTTTCCTGCTGTTACAAACAGAAACATGTAGCAGTTGTTAAATAATACAGGGAATTTATCTTGGAATCATACTTTTGTCAGAGTAAGACTGAAGGCTAAAATTTTCAGCCGCAATTACTTAAAATGCATTTGATGTGAAAAAGAAAAGGTTTTGTCGAACAGCATCTCATGCCATGTTTACCCAAAAATTACATATGATGTGCTATGGAGTCTCTCTCTGGCTTTCTTCAAAAAGTTCCTGGGAGCTTTGTCAAAGAAAATGACATGTTTATCTGTCCAACATATGAATTAATTCTACAGAAAATTCTGGTGACTTGTTCAAGAAAACTACAAATGTGTCATTGCTCAATTTTTCTCCAGGATCTAACCAGCATCGAATATAGAGTTCTTAGATTGTTTCTAGAATTATTTTAGTCTTTTTTTTTTTTTTTTTTTTTTTGTTGCTTCTATTATTTTTAATTTATAATCATTTATCATGGCTGTTATGAATTCTTGACATACAGAAAAGTACTTGTTTAAGTTCAGTATACACTATATATTGTAAATATATACAAATTGGTGAATAAATAATATTGATTTATGGAATGTATCCCATGTTCAAAAGGTGACAGAGCAATTTCAGCAAAATATTTGGAGATCCTAACAATAGTTCTTGCAGACCACTTATCATTTTGTGCAGCAAAAAAATTAAAGGTAATTCATGTTAACTTTGACTTTTTTTTGTTGTTGCTAGTTTCATAGTTTATTTAACCTGTCATTCACAGGTTGTCATTCAAACTCCAGTCCTCAAGGGCCGCTGTCCTGCAGTGTTTAGATGTGCCACAGGTAAAAAACAGTGGAATGAAATGGCTTAATTACCTCCTCCCTGTGTAGATCGGTTCTCCTGAGCCTTGCTAATGACCTAATTATTCTTTTCAGGTGTGGTGCAGCAGAGGCACATCTAAAAGTTGCAGGACAGAGGCCCTTGAGGACTGGAGTTTGACACCCCTGTCACGAGAGGACCCAAATTTGGGTCCTCTCGTGAATGACAGGTTAAGCTAAGTTTCATAATCCTGAAATCATTTCTGCTTTTTTATCTCGCACAAAGCTACTTCCCAGTTGTCCTTCCCCTCTCAACATTTACTTTATCAGTAAATAAGTTTAACCATTTCATATTAAAATTGTTAATTCAAAAATCATAGATTTTCCTGCTCCGGTATTTTTGAATTGTCTCCAGTCTGTATGTTTAGACTGTCCTACTGAATTGTATTAGGTTGAGTAAATGGACATTTGAAGATGTTCTATAAACAGAATAACACTAACTAGAAAAGCTTTTCCTCATTGTTTAACCCCCAGTTATGAAAGCACTCATTCTGATTCAGACAGTTCCCTTTGTTAATTAAGATCCACATCCTGAGATTGTTGTTTCAATCCCCTCATGGTTTTGATGGGCACGGCTTTCATTGAGCCGCTGTACAAACGAAGCACAGACTCTGATTTCCTGACTCTACTGCTGGGGAATGCTTTAAAAACACCAGCGGCTGTGGGAGCCAGAGTTGGAAATAGGCAGTGGTTTGGGAATTATAGACTCTCTCTCCCTGCCTTTTAAATGCTTCGTATTCTCTTCTATGCTGCCCCTTGACAGTTATTTATGTCATTAAAAGTAGCATAAAATGTCACTTAGGACCATAAAAAGCATTTGCTGAGGTTTTTCTTTTTATTTGAAAGTAGATAGCCTTGACCAGTTTACCACTTTTTATGTGCAGAAATATTTACCAAAGGCTTCTGGAATTTTGTCTGTTTATTTCATTTTTGATTGCATGTTGCTTCTTATCT